CCTGCACAGGCTGATTTGCCCTGGGCCCTGCACCCTGCTCAGATCATTTCTGCATCTAGTCAAAGGGTGTAAATGACATTAGAACTTGGGCTTTTCCACATTAACAGAACTGTTCCAAATTTACATTTTGTTCAGTAGCAGAAGGCTGCCAAAACTGCACTGATGAATTCACCCAAACATTTTATACAGTACTAATCATCACAGAATGGTATTACTATTTAGCTATTTACACCCCAGTCCTACTAATTACCCTTCTAGGAGACCCCCATTAACTCCAATAGCACTGAATCAAGCCATATATACTAACCAACCCAAGTGGGATTTCATGAGTGTGCAGGCAGCCACCCACATAGGATAAGCAGTTTGCAAACTTAGCAGTTTATGGATTAAATTTACTAGTACTGGAATGACCACTAACCTCAAAAAATATTTTCCTTTGCTCAAAAACAAAAAAATACTATTTAGATGTTTTGTGAAAATAATATGTATTCATTTATGCTTCTCCTCTGCTCATTTTTTGTAACTTGTACTTAAAATCTACAGTGTGGTATTTTTTCATATTCAATTCATCTTGCTGTCTGCTTTTATTTCCATATTTTAAAAAGTGCAAAATGTCAGCTGGCACCCCTCTTAGTGCAGTTCCTAGGGGCCCATAACGAGACTCAATACCTAAGATTTACCATACATCCTGCATTTTTTAATAAGCAAAAAGGATCTAATGGAAGGAAATTTATATTGATCTTACTATTGATTTTATGCTAGCCTTGGTTTATGAGTCACAGAAATTTGTAATTATTAAAAATCATAAAATAATTCCACATTATGAAATGATTTTATAATTAATTGATGTCCAGTAAATGCATAGGTCTGCCTTTTTTTTCATATTTGCACAGGGAAATTCCCTTTTATAAAAAACAATAAAACACTTCATAAAGTCCACTTCAAGGCCATTATTACACTTAGTAGTTAGATGTTATGAAGAAGTTAAGTGATCTGTTTTAGTAACCTTATGGCTACAATTTTCTCCTAGTTACAATAAAATGAGATTATTGAACCCGAAGTGCCACACTTCTATTGAATATGAAGCGATAAAAAGCAGACCCAATGATTTGCTTCTAGGCCATTTCAAGAGCAAATGATATCTCACCTGGGAAAGCGGAAAATCATTATCAGTATAGTGCAGACAACTCCAAACAACAGTCCCACGTTAGCAGCAAAGCATATTGTAAACACGTAGGTACTAACCCATATGCTCTTTGAGGAAGGAAACAAAAGAATCAGTTAATTTAAGCTACCACAATAATGTATATTTCATCAGTTGGAGACAAATACGTTAAAGCACAGGCAGTAGGTTCCCAGTTTGGAGGTTTATATTAGAATAATTGAACTGGCAAACAAGGAATATGGAAGTGTGAAAACTATGTCTTTCCCTTGGGGAAGACGAGTGATGTGACACTTTAATAAGCCTAGTGGTCACAAAAGCACATTTTCTGAAGCATTTAAAATGACATGTTTCTGCTTTGGAAATATTTTTCAAGCTGAAAATAACTGGCTTGCAAAAGTTTTATCTGTATTTCATTTTCTAATTTGGAAAGCTAATGACCACTTGTTTCCTGCACACATTTTAAAAACCTCTTTTTATATAATGCCATTTTGAACAATCATGTAAGAAATAAAGATATGTCACTGAGGAATTGCAGGTCATATTTCACAAGGAAGTTGATTACAGGTGGCAGTTCTCAGGTTCCTAAAAAGTATAACTTGCTGGAAAATGGTTTATCAGGTCAGCAAAATTTTAAATTTTTTAAAATCAAATCCTGAAATGGAAATAAAAAACAAAGTCTCAAAATATTTTGATATTCAATATTCTCTCTCCACCCTAAAAAAAATTAATTGGGCTAGATAAAACCTTCAGTTTCAATAATTCTGTGTTGACTTCTAATTTTTTTTTAATAAAAAGAAATATATTTTTAAATGCAGTCACTCTGACCTGAAAAAAATTAAATATTTAATTCCAAAATGTTAGACTCAGGATACTTCTAATCCATTCTCATGGGAAGTTTTAGTTTTGTATTTGTTGAAAAATTCCTGACCAGATTTACTAAGTTTTCACAAAATTTAACAAAAGGCATTACAAACTAATAACTATCACTAATGAGTTTAACTGGTCTATCAGAAGATTTTATTATATGATTTCTTCCTTGGATGGATGATTGCATACCAAGACATTAGTTCAGAAACACTAAAACACAGTTATATACTTTGGACCTACTCTTAGGAATTATGCCTGGGCAAGGACTGAATGATTTAGCTCTTCATTATCCGATATAAACCAAACATCATACACAATGTAGAATGTTTCTCTCCATTCCTTACAGGACCAGACTACAGCAAAAGGATTTCCAGTCTTTCTTGAGTGATACATTTACAAAGCATTCTTTGAAAATAATGATAAATTCTAGATGCACCTTAAAATTAAAACTCTCCTACCAATTACTGTGTGTGTACATGTACAGAATAACTCTTAGAAAAACAAGCAGGCAGAACTGGTTAATCAGCGAGTCATTAAGCCTAGTGTTTAGTCTTTCCAACCATGCTTGCTATTCACCAAGCTATTTATTACACGCAAAAAGCTAATGGAGAAACTTTGTATACCAAATATAAGTTGAATCAGACCAAATCTGTTCAGCTAATATGTATTCTTTACTGCTTTTCACACACAATTCCTTAAAGTTAAATTACAAATCTGAGTCTCAATACTACATGTCACTAACATCCCATCTAATTTTACCAGATATATGACATGCAATAGTTCTCTACCCTCACTTTAAGTGATTAACTCATCACTGTGCTAGTCCTTCTCTATATTGTTAATTCAATTTTTTTAAACTGCAAATTTTTCCCAGATTTTCATATTTCAGCTCTGTAGGAAATGTTTCGTATTCTGAGTCCTCATGGGTCTAAAATTCCAGCTGGAGAAATGGCAGAAAGGAAAACCTTAAGCTAATTATAAAAAGTATTAGAAAGGATGGAATGGGAATAGAATTATGAAATCATATAAGCACTGGGTTGGAGGGGACCTCAAGGGCCATACAGTTCAAACCCCTGCATGAATCCAGGTTACACTATTCTTAATGATAAAAATATGCCAAATGCTGGTCCAGCCCCTTCATGAAAATCTTGAATGAAGGAAATGTTATAGTTTTTCTGGGCAGCTTGTTCAACTATCCAACTGTTCTGACAATCAGAAAGGTTGTTTTCCTGAGAGTTAACATGAATCTACTTTGTTACAGATTATACCCATTGCTTCATATCTGGCCCTCCGTAACAAATAAGAACAGTTGCTCTCCCTCTTCTCAATGGCAGCCTTTCAAATATTTGAAAACTACTGTCCTGTTATCCCTTAACATTCCTTTCTCCAGATTAGACATTCCTAGTTCTCCCAAACTTTCCTCATACAGTTTGAATTCCAACCTCTTTATCATCTGTGTTACCTGCCCTTGAATCTTCTCTATTTTCTCTACATCCTTCCTAACATGCTGAGCTCTGCACTGTGCACACTACTCCGACAACCACACAGAGCCCATTTCTGGGTATTCAAAGCCAAAAATGTTGAGTACTGCTTATTCAACTGATATTTCTTACCCAGTTGATACAACTATTGTCTAAGCACAGGAACACAATACTATGTTAGCATGTGTTCCCCTGTCAGAATCTCTCTGTGATCATAAACTACAAGGTCTGTGAAAAAGGGATCATTATATGCTTATTTGTTAGTATGACAACTAGCCCAATTACCCTAGGGCTTCTGGCCACAAAGGTCATATTATGTAATAAATAATAAAATACTCCTTTTCTCTACTAGGGATAAGGTTAGTGGATACTGCTGAATCTTTCTGTCAGGTTCATTTGTTGATAGGTAAACAATATGTAAACTTATGGCAGCACCCCGTGCCATTGCAAATGTTTCAAAACTACAACAAGATAATGGAAGAGATGCTGGAGGGAACAAAAGCTGTACTTAATTTTAGGAAAGCTGGTGACTGCTATTTGGCAGTCCTGTGTTCTTCATCTTAGCTGTAACAAGAGACACCCAAGGTTTGAGAAGATGAGCCAAAACAATCATCCCCTCACCTGCCAATCACCCTCTTCAACATTTATGTTGGCCAAGGACCAGAATTCTGTTATTCAGGGTAGCACCCAGACTCTTTAAAAGCAGTTTTGTTGATCCTCTGTTGGAACATCCTTAATTCATGGGTAGGAGTAAGGTAACACAGAGAATCATAAAAAATCAAAGATTTCTTTGGCAAGCAACTATCAGAGAGAAACCAGGGGCTGATAATTTAACCACAGCATTCTCCAAATCTTAGCAATAACGCACTATAGGTACATGGTTGTTCTTAAAACTTTTTCAACATCTGGAACCTGCAGGGCTATACTACAGTGGGGGGGAGGGTTAAGTCTAAAGGGAATAGAAAAGCAGTAGGTTAGAGGCATGAATTTGTGTTGAATCCTTTATATCTCTGCACATGTGGAGAGGGCAAAGCACTTCGAATGGGCCAAGAGGTATTGAGGGCCAAGGGCACCTGGTACGCCAAAAGGCTTTTTGGTCCAGAGCTACAGGGTCCTGGAGTACTAGGGTCAGGGGAGAGGGTGTGGGAGAGGTACCAGGCATCCAAATCAGGGTTATCAGGCAGATTCCCCAGGAAATTTCAGGAACAGGTAGGGCATGACCAGTTGCCCCTGTTTTGCAACCAAAGGACTCTCCACGGTCATAGGGGACAGGGCTAGAAACTATGGATTCAAAATGCAGCAGGGGAATTTAGATGAGAGATTAGTTGGAACATCTGACTATGAGGGTGGACAATCTTTGGAACAGGCTATGTAAGGAAATTGTGCAGTTGTTATCCCTGGAAGTTTTCAAAAGCAGGCTAGACAGACACTTGGCTGGGATGGTTCAGTTAGGGATGATCCGGCCTTGAATGTGGTGCTGTACTAGACGACCTCAGGAGGTCCCTTCTAGCCCTTCTTTCCTATCATGCCAATACTGAAGTTAAGCATAACTTATTATGTAGCTCAATACTTTTCTCTAAACAAACTGGCTACAGCAAATGTTGTCAGTGTACCTATTTAGAGCACATAACAAGTTGACACAGTGGCTGTCCTATGGGCTGATCTGTTTATCTGAATGGACACAGAACAAGCAGCAGTGGTATAATCATCTCATTTTGCTTTATCACCAAAAACTCCCCCTTCCTCTGCTGACTGACAAGTCTCCTGGGTGGCCAGGTGCCTTCTGCCACTGTGTGACGTTTGCTGAAGCTCTGAGGGACCCAATCTTTCCTTTTGTGGAGCACTCCTCCACCTCACCACCAGCTGGGCTACCAGAATGGCAGGTGTGCCATGGTGACCCACCGCTGCATTGTGTCCTGGTCGGCACGCATGATGTCCCACAGCCTCCAGCGAGAGTCACACAGGGTGACAAGCAAGACATGCCACAGCTCCTGGGTCTCTGTGCTTGGGCATGGGTGGCAGGACACCATGGCAGAGTGAAAGCAGACTGGGACATGAAAGGATGTGCAGCTCACGATGGAGGGTTGTCACTCTGAGGCTCTCCTGCAAGTCTAGGACTAGGCACAGGGGAGGGTCCACAGTGACACAGCAGGGAGTTTGGGGTGGGATTGCCCATGCCCGGCAGCCAATCAGGCCTGGGTGCTCAGCTGCACTCAGGTGAGAGGGAGATGAGCTTAAGTGCCCCCAACCTACTGGCCTCAGCCAGTGCAGACAGCCTGAATGCCTCCCCACCAAAGGGTGAACATGTCTTCTGTTTGCTACTGATCTAACCTACACCACTTACAGAAAACTGCATAACTTAGACTGATTCCACCTCATGCTCTTTGAATGTCCGTACTTAGCCACATTGGTAGCCTTAAGTGCAATGTGAGCATAGTTTCCATCAAGGGCAAATAGTCTATCAGGTTCCATTCACACACTTCTTACAGCTGAGTCAACAAGAGCTCAATGAGGAGACAGTTACAAATAGAGGGAGTTGAAAATTAGCCTCTGTGTATTCGGCAGTTGAACAGTGTGGACCTAGGCTTTGTATACTATGTATGAAGCTACCTAGTGCCTGTGCCACTTTGAATCCAGAATCCAGACTCACTTTATCACAGAAAATCCAATAAATGTCCAGCCAGTGACTATGGGACTGGAACTGCTCTTGGAAATGACTGTATTAGCTGAGGATATTTTTG